CCTTGAAGCTTTTCAGAATAAAGTTATTTTGTAAGCTCTTGCTCACTCCTCTAGGTTCCTCACTCAAGGCCTCCTGAATTCCTGCCTGACACTTTATCTACTATGACATCATAGCTCTCAACAGGTCATATAATCACCCGACATAGCCAGCAGGGACGGCTGAGGGGCCTAACGCCAAGAGAGGCCTGGAAAGAAAGAACAAGAAACTGGGCCTTCTCGGCAGTGGCCCTTCAGCTCTGGAACAGCCTCCCGACAGAAATTCGTCTGGTACCCTTGCTGGGTATTTTTAAAAGCCATTTAAAAACCTGACTTTTCAGGCAGGCCTTCCCTCCAGTCAATTAACTGATCTTTACTCTTTTTCTTTTTAAACCTCCTCATATAAAGGAAAGCTGAATTAATGAGCATATTTATTTTAAAGAAAAGGAACTTGGTGTGGAAAAAGAAATTCTTTAACACTTCTCAAATATTCGCTTCTTTTGCGTAGAAGAACAATCGCTAAATCGTATTGCTCAAGCAAGGAATGAATTTCTATGGGCAGAAAAAATAGGACTATTAGAGAACTATCCAAACTTTAAAAAGCAAAAGGATAAGTCACTTGTTTCTTCCCAGATGCTCTTTCTTTTATTGCAAGGTTAGGGAACCTTGTGGGCCTCCCCCACCCACCCAAAGGGTGGACAATACCACCAAATTTGTCTTTCTAAGCTGTCATTCAAAGTATCTAGAGCAGCAAAAGTTCCTTTTGCATCCCCTAGCTCTTTCCCAGTCACTGCTGTTTCCAGTAATAAACTGAGTGCTCCTGGAAGCATCCAGGAACAGTGGCTCTCCTTTTAAGTAAGTCATAACCCCCCTGCATTGTTTAATGAAAACAGAAAAATGACATTTTTGGGGAAACCAAACTTGCACTTCTAGCTACTTTTGTTGGCATTTGGAAGCAGTCTGTCCTGCCTCTAAAGGTACTTCTGAGCAGAAAATTTGTTCCCACACCAACTGAAGTTACTCACTTGGCTTTCGTTTCCAGTGAAGAGCTGGATATACAACTTCCTTAGAGCAGTAAATAATAGGATTTCAGCCATATTAGCATACCTCTACTTTTGCTATTATGCCTTTCCTCCCCAATATTTCTTTCTTGCTTTGCATTTTCTCACATGCTTAACATCCAGATCTGATCAAACTATTCCTGCTAAGATCTTACTGGTGTGGAACAGAACAGTATTACTTGCAAAGCATGGTTCTGGCACTAGCACAGAAAAATCAACTTGCTTTTTGCACCACTGCATCACACTGAGATATGTTCAATTTTATCTACATCAAAATACTTTAAAATAAGAATATTGACTATGTAGCTAATATTTCATTTTATTTTTATTCTGGGGCTTGTTTTCTGTCTGTGATACCTTTTAATATTAGATGTGAATGTAATGATCAAAAGCATGAGATCAGAAAGCGCTCAGTTCAAAATTTCAACTGGCCATTAATCCAGGGTGGCCTAAGCCAAGTCACATTCTTTCCTCCTTGGTTTTCTAATACTAACCTAAGGCTGATATAAATGTTACCAAGAAAGCGCATGATGTGTTGAAGGATTACATAAAGCACTTTTGCACAGAAAAAATCATTGGTATTCTAAAATTCTGATAGAAGTTCACTGCCAGTCTTGAGATCACTTGGAATGTTTTAACTATTATGGCTGAAATCTTATTGCACTTGGCAGTGTTATGACCATGGAAGTCCACATTACATGCCTCACTGTGCAACTGGGTATACAACTGAACTTGTGGAACAGCTGCAGGGCTTGACTTCTGCCTTGGCATGAATTTGAAATGGCTTGAACATCTTTTAAGTTAGGCACACATAACTACAGAACAGGGTTTTAGCCTATGTCTACAATTCTTAATTACCGGCGAAGCTGTATCCTGTATAATCACGTTAAAGAACATCAGCAATGCTCCTTGTGAGGCTGTTAGCATGACAGCATCTTTTCGTAAGGCAAATAGTATGATAGTTATCCATCTGGGCTCAAGACTTGTGTACAAAACAGTCTTCTAAATGTTATTATTGTATACTTTTGCATCTGAACCAAACACATTTTACATTTACATTTTACAGTTCATATTTTAGAGAAAGAGCCTACACCAATAATATGGAAACAGGCTCAGTTCAAAGTAATGACGTTTTTGTTTCCAGCAGGTGATTAGAAAGGCTGCCTATAACGGGTTTTAGTTAAAAAGGTAACTGGTTCCATACTATCTTATGTACATTTGTCTACAAGCAAGTCCCAATGCATTCAGCAAGACTTATTGCTAAGTAAGTGCAGCCTACATTTAAGAACCAGGCTTCACCATGTCACTGATCCTTTAATACCCTTACATTCAGTTCAACTTTTAAAGAACGACCCTGGAAAAAAAATCTACGTGGGTTTATTTGGAACTTTAAAATCTGAATTCAGCTTGGAAAACAAAGATGCCACCTCATGTCAAACACTACAGAATTGGGGGGGGGGGGTTGTGGGGAAGACAGATTTCTACGATTTTGAAGCCAACCAAATGATTTATTCATCAGCCAAGGTATCTCAAGGCTGTGAATCTTCAGCCCACACATACTTTCTTTCAGTTGGATCTTTCCTTAAGCAACTGTATAGAACAGCACAGCTCCAAGAAACCTGGTGACTGCTGACTATTGTTTCAAAAGATAAACTACAAGAGCACATTCTCTTGCAGGTAGAAGGCCTCAGGTCCAATCTCCAAGGAGGGTTAGGAAAGATTCTTGCCTGAAACTCTGAAGAGCTACGGCCAATCAGAGTTGATAGTACTGAGTTAGATGGACCATGGCCTCACTTAGTATAAAGCAGCTTCATGTGTTTATTTTTAAGAGGCAATTCAAACACTTCAACAACTCATTAAGAACTAACTCACTATCAGACATAACAGTGCAATCTTGGTTTTGTCTATTCAAAGGTAAACCCCTATGAATCAAATACTGGCTATACTGTTTAAATGTTGCTGAACTACATAGTAAAACAGAATGGCCAAAATCTTGTTGAGTAATTAAGCCTGTGATAGTCGATTGGCTTAACTTGCAGCAGCTTCTTGCTCACAAATAGCAAATCCCTGTTTGGATTTTTGGAGTCCGGCGGAACTCCCAGAATAGGGAGTTACGAGATCTGTAGCCCAAGAAATAAAAAAATCCCATGCCTAGCATGCATGATAAGAGAGGGGGGAGAAGACCAACAGTCAAAATCTGTCTCGAGGATTATGAAAAGGGTAGCTCTGTGCAGGCACAGACCGTAAGTGTGAATGTACAGAGGGCCTGAAGAACCAGGAATACTATAGTGAATTACAATCCTATATAGCAGTGGTCTCCAACCTTGGGCCTCCAGATGTTCTTGGACTTCAACTCCCAGAAATCCTGGCCAGCAGAGGTGGTGGGAAGGCGTCTGGGAGTTTCAGTCCAAGAACATACGGAGGCCCAAGGTTGGGGACCAGTGCTATATAAAACTACAGTAGTCTTATGGAACTGCAACCCAGTCTTGACCATGGTTTGAGCTGTTTGAGATCTTCAGTTAGATCTTGGTTTACAGCCCTTTGTTTACTTTCATTTTCTGTTTGCTCAGCACTCATCGTGGGATTCCCCTCTCCACAGTAAAACAGTCTCTGGAAACTGAGCAACGATTACAACTACGGTCTGTCAATTGAGACATCACACAAAACCATTGCAAGCACAAAATTTTGTTTGAACACTATGGTTTCTATGTCTTTTCCATTCTATTAACAAACAATAGTTTGTCAATTCAGACATCAGGCCAGTCCCTAGGAAAGCTGTAATGAATTGTGGCTTGCCACACTGCTTGAACTAAATGAGAAATAGTGTTAACAATGAAAAAAAAAACCCTCAAATTAAAATCTCTGCTACACAAAGGCCTCTATGAAATCCACATTTCAACAGTCACTCATATTTGTAACTGAAGAATGTACAGTACAAGAAATACATTTCTGGGAACATCAGGCAGTCCTCTGCCCAAGAGCACCTGGGATAGATCTACAGATGATGTTTCTGGAAGACATTTCACATTTCAGTATCTTACAAAATCCTTTTCAATGGAAAAGCTGGGCATTAATAACCTTACACACATTACATACATCACACACGTGTAGGTGCAGCAACATCAATAGTATTTATTTAAAATATTTTTACCATGGAAATCTCATTTATGAGCTGTATTTTTCCCAAGAAAAATAACATCAGAATTCTTCATCTGAATACCAGTTACAAAGAAAGTTTCAGCACATCCAAAATAGTCTTTTTGGTCTGCCAAGTCTCAAGTTCATTTATTTAGTGAACACTACTATCCATTTTCAGATCAGATTTGTTCTTGTCATTCTTCACAGAGTAGATGAAATAGGTTAAGGTGTCCTTTTCATTCACAGGAATTGTCCGGAAATGACATCCAATTATCTGCAAGAAAAGTTTTGCTTCTTTAAGTATCAGTTACAACCATAAAGAGTACAAAGAAACAGTAGTGATTTCTTGTATATCAAAACTTACCCCGAAATTACTTACTACAGCAAAAGGAACAAAATTATCAACTTATATTTAGTACTTCATACACATACATACTTTTGAAAGGCATTTAGCATGCTTTTTTCCTGGCTTCAAAGAATACAGATGATCCTTCAAACTTGCCCAAAGTAACTGAGGAACACAATACTGCCCCAATCCTAGTTATTCTGGACTGCATGAATACACAGTACAATACAAAACTATTTCTGTTTGTTCATTATAAACAGAAAGTGAAAAAAGTATGGTTCTGACTCACTTGGTTTTTTAAAAGGGGGGAAAATTCTTGACCAAACAGGAGATATTTCTCAATTATATATATGTACACGCACATATGCAGAGTACTCCTGTTAAAAAGTTTATTTGCTAAAAGTTCTGAAGGAATGTGGAAGTGCAACAGACTGCAAAAAACTAGTAGACTTGTTTTCTTTTTATAGTGTAGTTGCTTTTTAAGGCGTAACAACTGAAGTTTAGTACAACTAGAAAAGTTTGGTTTCTCTTGAACCTGTTGCTATAGAAGGAATTCTGCTAACTATGCCAGTGGCAAGTGTCTCTACTGCTCACACACTTCTATTTCCTGATTTGCTCCCTTATGAACTCCTAGCACTCTGCAACATAATTAGCTGTCAGTTTTATTTATTTTTCCACTGTGTCTCCAAACGTCTTTTTAAGATGGAATTAAAGGTAATTCAGAAGTCATCAATGTGATGTGATGTGTCTTGTCACTTTGCAGTGACACTGAATAGAATCTGGCATTCTACTGCTCAGTCACCCAATCTGGACATACTTTCTGAAGATTTGACTGTTTACTAGAGTGTTTCCATCTGACAACAATTTGAATGTTTTTTCTTTGAACTGCTGTTTTAGGAATTTGAATTGTTTTAAGATTCTTTTAATGGGACTTTATTTGTTCTGCTCTAAAAATCTGTCAATATATGGCAGATCAAAAATACTTAAAGTAAACTTTTCATATAGTCTAATCCTATAGAATTTATCCAGATGTCCCACTGCTCCTATGCAAATGCTCACAGGACAGTAGCCTAAGTTCATCAGAAAGATAGATGCACAGCCACCACCATGGAAGAGTAACAAGGTTACTAGGCTAGGGAAATGGCAATGAAGTGACAGAAAGGGAGGAAAACAATACTCAGCCAAGACAAGAAGGGAATCCTCACTGTACAAAGGCTGAAGAACCACAGTTCAAATAAGCCATACTGTACAACACCTCTGGTTTTCACTGAAATAAAGATAACCAACATGACACATACTTCAACAAGCTGTGCTTTGTTAAGACCTGGTCTGGTCTGCAATTTGAAATGCCTTTTGTATCTTCTTAGTGTGTTTACTTGCAACTGAAAGAGATCAACCTAAAATGAAAAATATAAAAGAAATTAAGGCCAGTCTTTATTTTGTTTTATCATATAGATGCTGCTGAAATTTTGTGTGATGAATACACTCTCTCCCCTGTCTGTCTTCACTGTAACAGGCTGCACTGTTTTACTGCAGAGTTTCTATCCCGGGACCAATTACTATCAGGAATAGGCAAATGAAACACTTCATACTGAGAGCACTTCTAAATAAAGAACTCCCCATACTAGAAATCAAAACGCACATCATAGCCCTTCTGTCTTTTCCACCTTAATTAATTTTTCTCAAGAAGGAAACAGATGGAAGAAGTGGTGGAAAACAAAAGTAGGATAAGAAGCAGAGGCTGATGTAAAACAGCCCCATAAAGGTTAGAGGATGGGACAGGACAAGTGGCTGGGGGGAAAAAAACTTATCCAAAGGTTATCCATACCCTAACTATAATAGGTCATATATTTTGCGTGGCTGAAGTCCTATTCACAATCCCTGGGAATTCTTGTGGTAATAGCCAGAAGAAACTGGAGAAAATCTTGGAAAGCTGCAAAGTAGATACTAGATTGGATGCACCAACAATTATGAGATAGTACAAGAAAATCTGGTATGTGATGATGATCCATAGTGCAACGTATTAGAAGGTAACTTTAAAAAGCTGGTTTTAAGTGGGGCCCATGTAATAAGACTGGTACACAGTCCAGTCTTAGTAATGGGTTCACAGCAAAATACATACAGTCAGCAAAATCTCAAATGTCTAGTGACCATAAAATATTGCTGCTTATACGGTAACTTCAGATCCTCACTCTTTTCAGAAAGCCTAAACCAAAACATTAAGGTAATCATGCGAGCTACTCTACGAAAATATGCAATAACTGATCATAATACCTAGGTCAGCTTGTTTCCAACAAGACATTCTTTTCATAAGGCTTATGTAAATTAGTCTGTGTAGAAAATAGTTAATAATCTACCTCTGGAGTGTCGATATCTTGCACAGGCGAGTCACCGTCATCATCACTTCCTTTTCTCTTTCTTCTGTTCCGGACACTTTGAATTAAGTTTTTGTGGAAATCACAAATATAAAGATGCCTTGCCTAGAGGTTTAAAAAGACATATTAATAATGTGCAACGCTACAGAATTTTCAAAATTTCAACATTCAGAAAATGTAAGATATCAATAGTATGCAGCAAATAAATCAGATCACATTAACCACAAACATACTTGATTACAGCAAAATCTGCCAGAGAAAGTTCAGTACATTAACAAGTTACTGCAGTGCAGCCAACTTGACTCAGGAAATGCTTGTCACCAGTACTATATTCCCACTAGCTGACTAATGACAGCAAAAGTAGTCAAGTAAACCCTTATTACATAGAAAAGCAATATTCAAGAGACTGGCATGATAAAAACTGGCTGAAATCCAGTAGTAACTGCAATTAAAGTATGTGGGTATTTGATGGGGGCAACACCTATGTACGTTCCATTCATGCAGTGGGCCTACTCCAATGTACTACTGATTTCAGACTCTGAGTTTTTAAAGAACAAGAAAGTCTTCAGATACTGAATGTTCAGCTACACATTATTCTTAATGATTTAATGAGTTAAATATCAGAAGCAGTATTTCTGATTTCTAGGACTATACTTTGTGTCTCTTTGAATCAAATATCCAGTTATTAGAGATGCAGTGACCAGTAGTTCCTACTGTGCCAAGGTTAAAAAATGTGGGGATAATTTAATATGGATGTATTCATAGCTGAAATTATTACTTTGACTATGGAAACTGAAGTCCTAGCCAGAACACATTAACAGCAGAAAGCTAAACATATTTCATTCCACTGCATCAAGAGAGATTACTGTCTAGAAAGTATGTTTAAAACTGCAGGCTAAGGCTGTACAGTAATCCTAAACCGACTTGGCAGGGAGCAGGTCTCACTGAACAGCCTAGGACCTATGATTAAAAAGAGCAGGATAGAGCAGGAGATCTCCTGAACACTACAGTACTTCGAAGGCAGACTTTCACAAAGCACTAAGGTGCTGAACAAGCAGTGCAAATCAGCGACCTCCCCCCACCCTTCCATCCAAGCCAAAAATGCCAGTCCTTCTCTCATGCTCTTCGATAATGGCGTTGCATTTGTTGCCAGCTACTAACAACCTCCGGTTGTCGCCAGCATTTAACAACGCACTTTTAAACTGCGTCAGTACAAAAAGGGGAGACACTGCTAATACTTGTTCGTTCCGGTTAGGAAGCACAAGTACTGTATTGGGCTCTGCATTAAGGAACTATAAACCGACAGACATAGATACACTTCGCAGGTTAACGTCGTCTGACTTCAGGAATGTCTGCTGCATGAAATGGGTTTCCGTCCCCCCATTATCCTTTAAGAGGAAGCACTGAGTTGGAAGGTACGGCCAGCTTCTGCGCCTTCAGCTCAACGAGGAAAGAGGGGTCTGGCAAGAGCCTGATGGTTGCCAGGGGGAAAACGACACAGTGGCAAAGTGGGACGTGCAACACTGCAGCATAAGGCGGCGCAGCCAAGTACTGTACTGCCCTCTCCAGAGAAACAGAAACACTCCATGAAAACACGCAAACACACACCGCGCACTCGGCAGAATAAACGAAACAAGACTCCAGTTTGTCTGATGCGCAGCCGTTCATGCGATCGCGGTTTCCGAAATACCACGCTGATGACTGCACGGGGGGGAGGGAAGGAAGGGTCGGGGGTAGAAAAAAGCCCGAGCAGTAAGGGGCGAGGCTAGAGGAGGGAGAGGAGAGGAGCTCCTTTCCACCCGCACTCACAAAGAGTAGGAACTGAAGCGGATCCGCTTTGGCCACGCCAGCCACCTCTCCATGCAAGGGCAAACAAAACAGAAAGAAAAGAAAAAAAGAACCGCGCAACATCCAGCCGTTCAAGAGCAGCCAGGACGGGGGCGAAGGGAGAAGACAAAAACAAACCCGGATGCCTCGAGTTTCCATACTTTGGGGACTCCTAAAGTCTTCCCTCCTTGTTTCACACCCCCCCCCTTTCAAGGCTCTATGACTGCACAGGCGCACACACCCGCACCAAAAGAAGGAATACAGTATGAAGACAAAAACAAACCCGGATGCCTTGAGTTTCCATACTTTGGGGACTCCTAAAGTCTTCCCTCCTTGTTTCACACCCCCCCCCTTTCAAGGCTCTATGACTGCACAGGCGCACACACCCGCACCAAAAGAAGGAATACATCTAACTCACCTAGATTAGGAAGGGAAATCGGCTTTAAGGCAGGAGCAGCAGAAAGGAACTCGGGTTCCTTTTAATTGCAGAAGGAATGAAACCGGCCAGATTGGCTTACAACTAATAGGGGAAAGCAAGACTGAGACGCGTAGCCTTCAGCTTCCCAAAGAAAACCTCTTCGCCCATTCATTCCCCGTCCTCGCTTGCTTTTGTTTCTGCATCTGCCTTTGCCGCCACCCCCGGTGCGCAATTTGAGAGAAACATCCAGGGCTGGCGACATTGCGCTGAGTGAGAAGGGAAAGAGGAGGGGAAAAAGGAGAGAGAGAGAGAGAGAGCGAGAGCCCGGGGATTTCTTCAACTGCAACGCCAACAAGACGATCCCCTTCCAGCACGAGCAAACCACCGGGCACCCACAAGCGGCGGCGGCCACTTACACTCTTGTCCAGCTCGATCTTCACCTTCTTTTGCGAGATGCTCTTCTGGATCCGCTTGCTGAAGCTGGCGTTGCCGGCCGCTCGGCTGCACCGCTCGCCTTCCTCTCGCAGGCAACACAGCTGCCCGGCGCCGGGCCCGGCCGCCCCCGGAAGCCCCGCCGAGGCGGCACTCTATCCACTATACCACATTAACCACCCTCATTTTATAGATACACTGAAATATCTGGAAAAGGCTACAGTTTAAACAAGGTTCTCATCATGTCTTGGCCCGGTCGGGGCTGCGGGCTTCCTCGCCGGCCACCTCCGAAAGTAAAGTCCCTCAACTGGGCGGCGACGGCGGCGGCGTTGCGGCTCCTGCTCCTCTCCTCCCGCCCCGCTGCCCTCTCAGACGCCGCCTCCGCCTCCCTTTTGTCAAACACCAGGAGTCGGAGGGAAAGGGAAGCGGAGGAGACAAGGAAGGGGGCGAGGGGCAGCCGGTCCCGCTCCGCTCCCCCTACAGCCCCGGTCGGAGGCAAGGCATTGGGGGGGGGGTCAAAGCCGCCCCTCAGCCCCGGCTCAACTCCAGCGGCGCTAGCAGAAAACGCCCGCTCCGCTGCGCACCTCCTTCAACTTGACACGGAGAGAAGAGAAAAAGAGAAGGGGGGGGATAGAAACCTCCCAGCCTGTCCCCCCCCCTTCTTCCTCTCTAGGTAGCCAGCTTTGCCCTTGTGGCTGCGGCTGCTCTGCAGCAGTCCTTCGGCCGACGTAATTCAAGCTCCCGCTCCCCTCTCCTCCGTCGGAGCGGCGGCCCGCTCAACTCCGCTCTCCTCTGCCGCCGCCTCTCGTCATGTGCTGCTGCAGCACACTTTTCAGCTGTTTCCCCATTGCAGTAGCAACAACCTGCCCCCCGTGTGGCTCGCTCTGTTTTCTCTCTCCTCCGTCCGGTGGGCGCTCACGGGAACCGTAGTTCCCACCGCCGGGTTTGCTGACGGCCCGGGCGGGAGAGGAAACTACCAGTCCCGAAAGGCGTCGCGGTGCAAAGCGGCTCCTTGTGAAGTCTATTTACAAAGCGAGCGGACGCGGAGGCTTTGCGGCTTTTCTTTCGGAGCGCGCACAGGCAGGCCATTTTAGTGGCTAGGCGGCGAGGTGCTTGCAGGCGTTTGCTGGGGAGGGAGCGCGGGGGGGAGATTTTCCGTTCACCCAACGTGGAGCCGGGAGGCAATGGATAAAACGTGCGCTCGCTTTCAATTCGCATGGATGCATCCGGTGCAAACACCGCCGCGTCCCTCGCCGTCCGACCGGAGGGGAGAGGGATGCCTAGTTACACACGGGGGGGGGGCGGTGCTTCCCCGTCCTCCCTCCCCTCAGAAGTGGGGCTGCGTGCAGCCGTTGATGTTTGAAATCTGCGTGCTTGGGGAAAGTTGAAAAGGGAACAGCTGCTTCGTGCCGCGGCTTGCAATCTGCTCCTCCTAGCCATTCCAAGGCTCCCGGCATCCTGGCTTTACTGCTTCGATGACACAGCAGAGCTCCGGCACCTCTAGATATTGCCCGCCAGTACTTTAGGCTCCCTGCTTTCATTTTTTCTTTTGTATTTTGCAGAAGCACATTCGGAATAAAGGCCCCATTAGCGTGTCTCTGCCCGCGCGCCTCTGCCCGCGCGCGAGAAAACAACAACACAACTCTGCGTTGTCAGGGGTGTAAATCTGAAAGGGAAACATCGGGCGGTGTAGGAAAAATGGCAGTTTGGCTTTCCATGACTACGCAGGAGTTCCGGACAGACAAGCCTGTGTCAAGTAGAATGGGTTACCTCAGGAGGAAATTTTCAGAAATATAATATAGCCACTGTGAGGTAAAGTTGTATTTGGGGGGCGGGCTTTCAGTTTAGAAAAAGAAAGCGTGTAAAGAGACTTCACCGGGAGGTAAAGAACTGGACATAATATGGAGGAAATGGGCAGGCCTTTCGCTTGCAAACTTTTAACTCGTTCAAAATGCTGCTGACAGACAGACAGCAGACAACTACTCTATGGGAACACAGCTTGTCTGGCTGTTTCTGGGCCCAATTTTAAGTTCTGGGCATGTAGACAGCGATAGAGCTCGGGTCCTTGGCTTTTCACGCCTGGGAAGGTCACGATGTCAGTCCCACCATCGTTAAGAGGGCCTTTGGTGAACATGGGAGAGAGGGTCTTTCCAGCTGCTTCTCCCAGGCTGTCCAATGGTACTATGAAGACAGGGTGGGCCTCTTCCCCTTTTGTACTGTAATTACGCACAGGTCTTCCTTTTCAAACAAGCTCTTAAATGATAACTTTGGTTTTAGGAACACTGAGTTTACAGTATTGAATACAAGGATTTTAAAAATGATTTTTAAAAGTATTTTTAATGGTGGTTTAAAAATATTTTTATGTACTTGTATTTTAAAGTTATGTAATGGCATTTTAATTTGGGATTATTATATAAATTTAATTGTTTGTAAAAAAACAGCTTGGGTTTCCCATAGGGAGAACAAAAAGTGGAATAATCCAGATTCATGAAAAGGGAAGCTTTTCCACACAGTATGTAAATGAATGTTAAAAATTGCAACTACAGTGGTGCCTCACTCAACTATTGCCTCGTTAAACAACGAAACCACTTGACGATGAAGTTTTTGCAATCGCAAAACAATGTTCCTATGGGGAAAATTCGCTTAACGATGATCGGTTCCCTGCTTCAGGAACCGATTTTTCGCTAAATGATGATTTAGAAACAGCTGATCGGCGGTTCTAAAATGGCCACCCGCTGTATTTTCAGGAGAGATTCCCCGCTTTACAGGCAGCGAAAATGGCCGCCCCTATGGAGGATCTTCGTTGGACGGTGAATTTTCAGCCCATTGGAACGCATTGAACCGGTTTCAATGGGCTTTTTCGTTTTGCAAGATGATGTTTTCATGAGACAGCGATTTTCATGGAATGAATTAACATCATCTTGCGAGGCACCACTGTATGAGGTATTGTAATGATCTGTAGGTTGGATGGCTTTAAAGAACTAGAAAAATTGTGGAGGATTAAGTTTATGAATAACAACTAATTGTAATGGCTATATATTGCCTCCAGTTCCTGAGGCTGTATGCTTCTGAGCATTAGCTATTAGACAGCACAAGTGGGAAGCTGTTATTTCACCAACACCTTGGTTTTTTGGTCATCCATCTGCTTTCCAAACAGAATGCTTCTGATGAAGAATAAAATAATTTGGGACCCTTCTAATATTTTCAAATTGAACCTGAGGAATTGGACATTTAATTTAATTTATTTAAAATATTTTTATCCCACTTTTCTCCTTAAAAAGGGCCCGGTTGGTCTCTGTGGACCTATATCAAATTTGTCTAAGTGCTCTCTAAATGTGGTCAGATAGAAATTGGAATCCCACACGTGGAGGGATCCAGTTCAGGGACAACTCCTTCTGGACAAAGGGTACAAAATAGGAACAGGATTCACACTTGGATATTTTAGACCCACATTTGTTGGACAAGCTGTATATATAAATTAGAGTAGTGGAAATACTAGAGATGGGATATTCGTATATGAATATGAATATCCTGGACCCAGGTGGCCTGGAAGCCCAGGTGGCCTCCCTGAATTGACCTGACCACTTATGAGTTGCCATGTGTAGCACATGGCTGGTGTCCTGCTTGTTGCACTAATCTCAGAAGTAGCTGAGCTGGGGCATCCTCCCTCCCTGTGCTGCTGAACAATCAGCAGCTGAGTGAGGAGACTCATCCTCCTTCCCCCTGGCTGTAGTGGCCAGTAATGCAGGGAAGCTGAGAATTGCTAGTCAGGCTATGTCCAGGATTGAAATGATGAGCAGACCACTGGCCGGGTGCACACCACACGGCAACCCATAAGTGGACAGATCAGTTTGGGGAGGTGGGACCGCACTTCCCGGCCACCTGGGTCTCTAGCAAACACCATCCACTTTGATTTGTTCTGAATTAATTGTATTACAAATCAGAACCAATTTGTTTCAAGCCTGTATCTAACCTGCCCAATTCAATCTGTATCAAAATATTTCATAATATTTGTATGAGTACAGTGGTGCCCCGCATAGCGAGCGCCTCGGTTAATGACAAATCTGCATAGCGACGCGTTTTTTTGCGATCACAAAAGTGATCGCATTGCGATGTTCTCAATGGCTAAAAATTGCTTTGCGATGATCGGTAAGCGTTTCGCTTACCGATTTTCGCATAGCGATGTTTTGGGAACAGCTGATCAGTGGTTCCAAAATGGCCACCAAAAATGGCTGTTGGCAGCGTTTTTGCGCCCTTTACTCACTTACCGGGCAGTGAAAATGGTGGCCGCATGGAGGATTTCCGCATAGTGGTGAGTTTACAGCCCATAGGAACGCATTAAACGTGTTTTAATGCATTCCTATGGGTTTTTTTGCCCCGGATAGCGACAATTTTTTTGGAACGGATTATCGTCGCTATGCGGGGCACCACTGTACTGGGGAAAAACATGATCATGGGGAACATTAAGGGGACTCACATAAGATGAGACCAATTACTCTGTAACCTCCACTGTGCACGCCAAGCTCCCATTTCCTTCTTTCCCCACCAAGAGCCATACAATTTGTCACAAGTTCTTGGTCAAGTCCTCATTTTTATAGTCACTCAGCCACACTACTCTTGTTCATGCTGGGATGGGAGCACCTGGGAAGATACGGGTATGGTGGAGAGTTTGACTAAAACCATCTCACTCTCTCAACACCTGTTTGGTCTCTCAGACTCTGAGGTGCTCTGGAGAGCTTAACACAAAAAGAAAATTCCCAAGGCTAGGCACTGAGAATGAGTGTGCTGGCCTTGTGAGGCAGTTGACACCACCACCCCCACACACAAACACTGCAACAAATCCCAGTAACTGGACAAGGCTAGTACTGGTTTTAGTACCTTCAGCCCACTCAGTCAAAATCCAGACAACTGGCTTCAAAGGATTTTTGTAGTTTATTAAAAAAAATAAATGAATAAAAAGGAAATAAATTCTAAAAGGATAACTGGAAAAATATTCAAAACAGTAATGAGAAACAGGTTTTCAAAATGTAGAAGCAAATATGCACACAGACTTGCAGCACTCAGGAAGAAAACACCTAAAACAATAAAAGCGATTGTATCATATCTAACTCCTACTTGAGTGGAGAGATAGCGTATTTCTGGGTATGCACAGAGTGCAGTCTCCCACCACAGTAGCATAAGACAGTGAATGGGCCCCAATCCTAATTGCAAGTCAAGCTGAGCATCTGCAGGCAGCAGGGGAGCAAGGCATCCTTCTACTCAGTGACATGCCAGCTAACTCATTTCCCTAATTCTGTTTTTATACAGGTGTGATTGGGTTCCTTAGTTAAAGTAGGCGGGCCCAGGGTTTCGGCGGGAATGACAATCGGTGTAGACGTTATGGTTCCCAATGGTTTTGTTTTATTATTTCTAACATCAAACAGTTCGGGACCAGACGGGTCCAATAGCTCGACATTGTTACATACAGCTATGACATCACCTGCCCGTCACTGCTGAAGCTGTGTGTCATCTACCAATGGCGTGACAGAGGGTGGAACATAAGGGGTGGAGCTGTTGTATATAAGGGGAGTGAATGGTGTGAGGGTTTCAGATAGGGCTTTGAGATAGGGTTGAGATAGGGAGATAGGGCTTGGAGATACTATGAGATAAGAACTGTGCTATATAGTGAGGGTCTGTGAGAGTGTGTGTGTGACTGTTATATTATTATAGTGATTGTTTTATTATTTATATTCAAGTGATTTACCATTCCTTTTGTTTGTACACAATAAACCTAAGTTTTTATTTTGAAATCATACTTTGGCCTGAAGCTTCATTTGAAGGAATGGTTGGTGGCATTGGAAACGAAGAGTGATAGAGTGTGACGTAACAGCCCCTTTGTGAGGTATCAGGTGGCTGTTACAGGCATCAGTTAACAGATTGTACTTTTTAGGTTTAACAACATTTTTAGCACTTTCATTTCTTAAAACTTCTTCATCCCAAAAGGGAGGGTTATAGTCTGGCTCTTCACAGGAGCGCTCAACACTGCGCAGGTTGTCCCGCAGCAGGGATGCTTCACCACGGAGCCCTCCAGCCTGGGCAGAAAGGGGCTGCCCCCATAAGGGATCTCGTAGCCCTGCGAAGGTTGGGAAGAATCCACTATCTGACTCCATCCCTTTCTACTCCCTCCAGCACTTAACTTCTTTAACTCTTTGGGCAGAGGCAACAACCCGTCTTTCCTT